AAATTAGAGAATTAAAGATATCATTACAAAATGAACAAATCTGAGAGAGGTCCACATGTAGTACCTATACATGTAATATCAAAGCAATTGCACTTGCGGTTTTCAACAAGAAGTCGAAAATATCACTTTTTACTAAAAATGACAAAAATATTCACCAAAATTAGAAAATTGAAGATATCATCATGAAATGAACAAATCTGAGAGAGGTCTACCCAAGGTACATATACACCAAGTATCAAAGCATTCAGGCTTGTAGTTTTCAAGAAGAAGTCGAAAAAGTAAAACATTGACACGGACGACGACGACGACGGACAATCACTCATATGATAAGCTCCGCTCGACAAAGTCGACAGCGGAGCTAACAAAAATGTTCAAGACACATCATGTTGTTGGTACTCCTGGCACAACAAACCCATTCCCCTCATCTTTATAAATATTTATAAATTTCACAATTCAATCTGAGATGGGATGTTTCTATAGGCAGATTGATTATTAAATTAATAATGGAAAATTTTCAAAACATGTTACACTAAATTCAACTACTATTAAAATAACAAAAATGAAAGGAACAGTTTTGTTGTGTCAAGAGTATTGAATATTGAATGCGTGTACAATAAAAATTTAAGCCATATTTTTTCTCTTTATCTTTGGGATGAGAAGCAAAATTTGTTGTTTGCCGAATATGAGTACAATTAGTAGACCACTAATGTTACATTTGGCCACCCAACATATTATTTATTATTATTTACAGCAAGTTTCAGTAGTTATGGTGCAGCCAATTTGAAAACTTGCTAGCGAATTCACTAATTGCTCGGGTTTTGACTAAACAGTTGACTTTCTAATTTTGCTGGCGCTGTCTTATGCTCACACCCTCTCTGAGCGAATCCTATTTAACAGAAGGAAATGGTGGTCAGACTTTCTGGAGCTAATCAGCGACGGTCTTACAGTTGGATGGTGATTTCGGTTTCAAATGAAAAAAAACATTTCTTAACTTTTCTCTTTATTTAGTTTCAAGCAGTGTGCAAAATGGCCACCCCCTTATATTATATATTGGTGATTTAATAGTTTTATCATATTATCCCTTGTGCGCCAGATTACTGTGGTTCTCAGGCTGACCAGGGAAAGACATGAGAAATGCGCGATTATGAAAAAAAGCCCCGTTATTTGATAGAAATGGTGTGATCTGATTTTTTTTTTTTAAATTCTATGTGGTTACTAATTTGGTAGCTGTAGGCTTTCTAAAAGCATTCTATGTCCTCTACTGCAATATAGACTCACCCAGAGTGGATGCGGGCACAAGTTGGCACCAGCAGGATTCAAAATCCAACAGTTTAGTCAAAATCCAAGCAGTTAGGGAATTCACTAGCGAGTTTGTAAATTTGCTGCTCCAATACTTGTGAGACTTGCTGTAATATTGAGCATCTTTAGTATCCCACAACTAAAATTATCATTCTTGCTCCTTTTTTCTTTTAAATATTGGGGATACCAGCCCTATGCATTTTCAAGAAACATAAACAGAGCTGAAATAAGTTTTGTAAGTAATATGTTTTATCACTTTTAAGTAATAATTTGCAAAAAAAAGATAAATATACTCAACACAGTACAGTTACAGTATCAGACTTACTTAGTGTTAATTAATAATTAAAACAATAAATTTAATTAAATAAAATTTATGAAGTTTAATAAATTTATTGGTCAGCATCAGTTTAGTTAAAGCGCGGTGGTCGTCGCGCAGCGCGTGTTCGAATTACGTGTAAATAAACAATGTATTTTACACGCGTTCACGGTTGTATACGTCGCTATGAGTCCCATATCGAACAGAACGCGGCGTGACGACTGCCGCCCTAAATTATATTAATAAGTGAATTATTAATGAGTTATTCAAATTTTAACCTGTTTCTGGATATCCCTGACACGAGTATCGTGTTTTTTAGGTGCACTGGTCATTTTGAAAGTAATCCAGTTTCGGAAGGAAATTAGCACATCGAATAGGACAGAAACCGGAAGTAGAAAGAGACAGACAAATATCCATCGTTGGTGTACAACTACATATTCCAATCCTTTGATCTTGAACCACAGATAAAAGCCGCAGCAAAAAATTGCTGGAAGAGTTAGGATAACTGCAAGCATGGTGAGTTCGACCAACGGTCCAGATGTCGACCACGTTTCTACAACAATTTGGATGGATTTGCCGGGTGTCGGCGCCGGTTGAGACAATGCTGGGCTGGACTCAGGTCAAAGTCCTGATAACGCGAGAATGTGTGAGACTTGGCTGAGTTTCAAAAAAACATGGCGGAATACAACTGTGGAGGTTGCTAGCCATAAAACGGTTGTTGTGTTTGAATTTAAAATTCCTGACGCGAATAACGCTACCTGCTTGTGAATTGTTGTTGCAAATCGACTTCGACGCGGTGCGGTAAGTCGAAGTTTCGCCAAAAAAACGTCTGCATTTGGCTGCATAAATATATTATCTAATCTGACATTTATTCAATTGTTGCGACAATAATTCCGCAAAATGATGTCCCGAGACTGGGAGAGTAAATTCTCCTCCATTGTCAGAGAAACCGAAGCCAACCTTGCCAAAGTCAGGGTAAGTGTATATATTTAATTTGATACTTAGATGTCAAGCAGCGATCGATTGAGCGTGATAATATCACGGGTCTGGCTACGCTTTTCGTTGACCAGTCCCTATAATGACCGAAGCTAATTTCCGAGTTGGTGACACCACTGTGTGACAGCCATATACCACATTCACGTCAGTGTTAAATGATATCTTTACAACGTCTACAAAAGATCGATTTTTAAACAAAAATTGTGATTATTTCCGTTTGGTTACTATGGCAACCAAGACGCTATCGTTATTTTCTTGGGTTAAAAGACGATATAAGCTTTAATGTGTACTCATTTATACATTAGCTGGGTTTATTAAATAAAATTTAAATTCCACAATAAATTGTATTGTACAAAATGCATGATATTCTGTACATTGCTGCCACCATGATTGAATGCATGCATACTTTTTAAAAAAATATTTACTTGTTGCACCATTTTTGCTGCAGTCCTTAGCAGAAAGCAGTTGACAATGAAGAACTTTGGAAAGAATTCAATACCTGTTTCAACAATTCACACAATAAAGCCTTTGAGTTGTGCACTGGTACATTCATTGAATTACCACTATAGCAACATACTCAGTATATGCTCCATTGATCGGAGCTCAGTCAAGTCTGTTAATACACTGACCTGCTTCACTAGGGTATATAGTTAACACAATAATGCAGCTGACCAAGAATTCTGACATGCAAACTTTTTGGGTGTTTTGAATGAAATTTATTTTTAGAGTTGAATGACAAATATAGAAAAAAGGGATATTCGCTGGATTTTTTTTTTCACTGAATCAATCCTTCAGCGAAAATTAATTCTAAGTGAAAATAAAGTATTTTACAGTGCTTAATCTGATTACCGCTGTAAGAACAACTTTAAAAGCATTCAAAATATTAAGCGTACATGACTGAACGGGCTCTAACGTTTAATAGCAGAACTCATTTGTGTAAATGTTTTATGAAGACAGTTCCTTTGTTGAACAAGACTGATCGTCATTCTTATGTTTTGTGGTTCAGTCTATAAAAGAAGTTTTTATGGGATGTCTCATGAACAGAGCTAATTTTTATATTCTTGTAACGTTTGTCAATTTCAGCAACGACTTGGTTCTTCGAGATCTTCAATTTATGACAACAGTTTTCGTTCTTATTCGCCAAAAAGAAACATCTCAGGTATGACGCTTATTTTTTAAATTTTATTTACACCAACCGTGAAATAGTTTAACAAAAAATAAAACACCTTATTGTGGTACCATTTTGAGGCCCATATTGTCTGATACCATGAGTAGTAGAAAAACAATAGAACTAAACAATAGGAGCACTCAGCTGGACACTTGCCAAAAACAACAACTGAGCAGTAGTACCGATACTCATCATTCAACAATTGAGTCTGTATTTGTCTCTTTATATGTATTCTCATTCATTGTTCGGGTCAGCGTGGTAATTATCAACTTGCTACTCACCAACAATCACACTATTGTAGGAGCTTATACTCTCAGTGCCTGTAGATTAAGATGTTTTTTTATTACAGGTACATACGGAGTGAGTCATTCATCTCCAACCTCTTCCTATCCAACAACATCATCTCCAGAGAAGACTAATTTACATACTGAAAGCGCAGACCCATCACCTGCTTTAATTGCTATACTTAACGAGAAGATTGAACAGCAAGGGAAGGTATGGTTCAGTCTATCATAAGATGTTATCAAACTGTTTTTTTTTACTGTTATCGCCGTATTGTTTTGATGTTCAGAAGTTGAAAAAAAAAAACTTTCATTGTTTTGACACGTCTTGTGTGCTTTTATCAAGTCAAGGTAAAAAAAAGCAAAACAAATCTATGCATATGCGAAAACAATTATATGTGGGTGGGTGTGGAATAAAGTCTTGAATTGAAACTGGTTCGTATTCAAAATATTAGGGGAAATAGTTCATAGGCTTTCATATTGTTTGATTATGTTATCACAACTGTCACTGACATGGTTTTATCAACAAGTGTGTCCTGGTGTATGAAAGTGTGGTACCACATACATACATGTAAAATTTAATTAGTTAGCAAGTTTGCTAACTTGCTGCCCGCAACTCTCATTGTTCATTTCTCTTCTCCATTAATTTATTTTTCTTGACAGCTGATTGATAATCTTAGTAAAGAAGTTCAGTTACTGGAGAAAGAAAGAGACGGGATGCGAAACCGTATGGAGAGATACGAAGATCAATTGAGAGCACTGGATAGGAGATTGTCTGAGAAGGGCATTGACCTACAGACTGAGAGGAAGATTGAACTATGGAGGAGGGAAATGAAAACAGAATTGTACGAGATTCAGAGTAAAATGCACAGTCAGAGAGCCAGCGCTGATATGTATGGTGATGATATGGTGTCAGCGATTAGCAGGGAACTTAGAGAAAGGTAATTATCCAGATATCGAGCTATCTAAAGGTAAAATAGTAGCACAAATAATAGAGTAAAGATTTACGATTGTGTTTGATATGAATCCCATACAATGCATTTAAATTTCAGTGATACTGAAATAAGAATTTTGATGTAAAAAACAGATTTTTAATATAATATGCATTTAATTCTGTGTGTATTGACTGATTTGACATAATTCTGGTGGCTGAGAGGATTTCAATTTGAATGGGTTGAACGCATTGTGTAATTAAACAATCTACATGCCTGTATGTTGCTATGCATAGAACATATGTAATTGCCTTGCCTACCAATTTTAGCTTCATATTCCTGGGGATGAGGGCTCCCCATATTTTAACCACGCATGAAAAATACCTGACAGTTCTCACAATTAGAAAATCTTTACTAGAATGTAAAACCATGGTGGATTAGTTAGTCTGATGTTTTCACTGATTGTTATAGGTTCTCCTTTTGTTTTTGTTTTTTAGCAAAACTCTACTGCAAGAAGAATGTGATTCTTTGAGACGAGATATAGAAAGTATAAAAACCAAACTACTAAACCAAGAAGTAGACATAGCGAGTCAGTTAGCTGACACTAAGAATGTCAGCAGGAAAGTTGAAAGGCTTGGCAGGGTAAGACAATTTTTAAAGTTGAATTTAAACATGAATTTAAATTGTATAGTTATTTTCAAGCTAAATGTTTCTTTGGTAAGTGGTTACTACATGCACCTATATTGGATTTAAAGCTTTGTATGAATGGTTCATATTGTCTGCAGAATATTTTACTGAGCGATAGTTACTTAATATCCCAATCAGCATTACTATACATGTTAAAAACTTACAGTTTTGTATGAAGTTGTATTTGCATTCATTCGAAGCATATTTTAAAATTATGACTACAAGTAGAAAAAAATACTTGTATAATAATAAGGGTATCATCAGAATACCACAACTTATGCTGTCGGGAAACACAGAACCTCAGTTTTGCGTCAGTCGCTACGATCATCACACTGTGCATACTTTGTGTTGTATTCTTGTGATAATTTTATACAGAACAACTCATTGTCATGTGATATTTGTGAGTACCAGTAAGTCTGCCATTTTTTCCATCCTGCTTCACATCTAGTCGTGTCACCATAAAATAACTAAAATTACTCCTCTATATATCTGTCTTTAACATTCTAACTTTGCAAAATCCAGTAGTTTCTTGGTACCAATTTGGGTATTGGTAGCCACAAGAAATCTGTAAAATTTCTATTTCAAAAACAAAACATAATAGTGAAGATTATGAGTAATACTTTTCAGCTGACTACTGAGGTTAGGAAGCCCACAGACTGGAGACAAAAATGGTTTCTCTATTGAAGGCAATTTAATTGTTTAAACTAAATTATTATTTTAGTCTCTAAAAAAACTTGTCATGAATTGTTTCTCAGGTGTGCCTTATCCGGTTTCTTTACAACTTTTGTGTTACTAAATATTCATAGCTGGTTACTGATGCATAACATTTATGTTTGCCAACTGGTGGCCATATTGGTTTCATTTTTAGGTGTCCTCATTACTTAATAAGATGAATTACCATAGTATGGCAAAATTCCTACAAATCCCCACACTATTTACTGCAACATTTTCAATTGATATGTTTACATGGATTGCTCCCCTCCACTTTTGGAATGTCTGGTCTTTAGCTCATTAGAGATCACTTTGAAAAAATACCAACATGACTTGTTTTTTTATCAATTTAGAATGTGAATAACATTACCGAGAGTCATCGCAGTCACAATCGAGATTTAAACGATACGCTGCAGAGTAATCAAAGCACACAGAAACATCTCACACAAATCAGGTATGTATTATTTAAAGTCACAGCATTACAACAGGCACTGATATAAACAGATCCAGAAAACCACCATCTCTCTATCAATCTCCATTGCAACATTACCAACAGTATTTTTTATTCAAATAAAGCTACACTCCTGAACTTAAAACATTTTCAAATGGGATTTATGGATTTCAGTCATATTTTGAGCGAAAAATAGAAAAATGATGAATACATGAATCTTACGAGCATTCTATTTTTGAACACAGTGAATTTTTATTTGATCAGAAGATTACAATTTCATTTCAAAGACCTTGAGACTATGGTTTATTTCAGTATGCAAATCAGTGTTCTTACTTTCCAGCAATTGAAAACAAAGTCTACTGGCAATGCTCTCAGGATTAATGCGCATCAACATATTCTGATATTTATTCTTCACTGTGTTTTAGGGCTGAAATGGAGAAGTTGCTGGACAGTGTCACCAGAATTGAAGCAAGAAGTTGCACACCGGGCACAATGAAGTCTTTTGATTTAAGTAATGGAGATATCAAGTTATCTGAAGGAGGTGAGGAATAAATCGATTTTGAGTTACCTGTATTATTAAAAAAAATATAATACTTTATATAAATATATATATATATATATAGATTTTTGAGCATTGTGTTCAAGTGTTGCATTAAATGGGTTGTGCATCCTACTTAGCATATTAGAGATTGCAGATGGGCCAAAAAATCATCAAGAAAACCACTATCTCCCTAAAGTTGGGTACACAACCTTGAAATAAAACAGGTGCAATTAGAGATAAATATTTTGGTCAGGCATTTTAGACGTATAATTTGCAATCATTGTGTTTAAGAGTATAATTTGCTGGGTTTAAAATAGAAATCCACTGTAAACAAACACTTAAAATTCCAAGTGAGTGTTTTTTTTTTTTTTTTTTAAAGGCACCAAAGAAACATATTCAGAGTGTAAATTCAAGATGATTAATGAACACAATTTGCATAACAATAACATATGTTAACAACTTCATTTTTTATTTCTATTGTTTATCCAAAATGTAACAGTTGGGAACCTTTACTCTATAATACCCTGGGGAGAACTCTGTAGCAGTTAAGGCATTATCAGTCTAACAATGTAATAAACTGAACTAGACATTAAGAGGTCTCCCGATGTTGATTTGGCCCATCTTATTCCAATCATATAATTCTCTTGTTAAGCCCATAGCAAACCAGTCCAGAACATTGCTGGGCCATATTGCAGTGAGATATGACATATTTTGACCATAGACATATCTATCATTTATGCTAGTGCATGTGTGTAAGTACATGGGCCTAAATAGTACATGTGTGTGTGTGTGTACAACAAGATAGGGAAGGTATTGCCTGTACTTCTAATAATAATCACTCACAATATTTACTTCACTAATACAGATTATATTGGTAAAAAATACCTGGAACCGGATGATCTTTGTCAGTTGTCGCTGAGTGACCTGGACGTAAGCACCAATCTCAGTGATTTCCAAACAGACCCGAGCAGTAAACCTAAATTACAAGGTAAATACATTCCCAAAACCATGCACCAGGTTTCTTGGTCTGATTCACGTGCAAGAATACCAGCACGGTTTGGGAAAACCAAGTCTAAGGTGAAATTTGTTCTATAGCTGTGTTTACATTAGTCAATGATTGTATTTGTGTTTGTTCTATCTGCTGCTGGATTATGATAGCAAGTGATTCCTCAGAAGGTAACAGAAATGTTGTCTCTTTGTTTCAATCACACACTTATAAACTAAAGGGATCCATTCAAAATGTTTTGCTTTTTTCTGGCTTTTTTGTTACGTCCCAAGTAATCTCATAATGGTGTTAGACAAATGGATTGTTTGATGCCAAAACACTTTCAAACGTTTTTCTTAGTGAACACCTCTTCCCATCACCATGACAACCAATTTCTATCATGCTCAAAATACTAAGATCTATATATACTGTAGATATATATAGTCTAATTATTTTTGGATGTCAATTTTCACCACTGGTAATTTTCAGGATTTGATGATGATTTAAGTGTTACTCGAAAAGACGACATCTACGAAAGTCCCCACTACACCCTATCTTATTGATCTCAGTGAAATTTTCTCTGCTACAACATTGTGTGATTTTTCCTGAGACTTAGCAAAATTGTTCAATTCATGTATTGTCTTATTTTTTTCAGGAAGTACAATTATGTCTGATCCAGATAGTACAATTGACCTGGATGATCTGAATCTGAGTGGTACCCCTTCTATCAGCTCATTGGAATTAGATTCTGATCTATTTTAGAAATGTTAAGCTTCCGTCCCTGTGAATTCTGATAATGGAATAGTCCACTTTAGACTGTACCATTATGAGAGGGTGTTTGGAAGGTGGTGATTCTGAGAGGTTAGATACTTTCACTAAAAGGTTCTCAGGTTTACTTTAGTTTATTTCAGAAATGATAAATTCACTGGTCTTGATTGAAATGAAAAAAAACAATCAGAGAAAAATTGTATTACTAGTAATCAATGTGTGTCACCATGACTGATTTCGAAGCAGGTCTATTCACTGCTGTTTTAACCCTTAAAGTGCCACAATTTCTCCCACCTGGATTTCAGTGCAACTTTTCACCTGTTTTTATACTGTTTTCTACAATTTTATTTATCATTTTGGACCAAATGGAGATAAGAGTAATTTTCCTAATCTTAATAACAATTTTGAACAAAATATGGAAAACTTATGTGGGTTATATTTTATGAATGGTGCTACCACAATTTGACTTAGGCAATCAAAGGGTTAACTCTAACCTCTCTAGAATCATTGCCATGAACAACAATCGAGTCTACTGTGTTTGTACAACTTCTTAAAAAAAAAACCATTGTATATTGAGTACAATCATGGTTTCAAAACAGAGCATTAGCAGAACTTCTCTGTATGTTTCTCTGATGACCGTGACAGTAATTCAACATACTTTTTGTATACACAGACCTGAAATATCTTTTTTTCATTGGTTTACTATCAGTACTAATCAAGTTTATCTCTTCATTGAATATGCCTGCATCCACTAAGAGTTGTAAAATATCTTCCATATTACCTTTTATATTTTATAAATATAGTGCTAAATTTTTTGAAGCAATCAGACTTGATTTGTATTGGTAGTGTCAATTTCAGTATTAGGTCATTCTGTTACTCCTCCGATCAAGCTCTGACACTGAGCTGCCAGACATGGTTGGAGTTGTCAATGACTTTTCAAGAGTTAAGTTATGTAATTTAAAAAATTTCAATCATGATTTAGGTGCAGTAGTCTTAAGAACACTTTTTCAATATTGGCAATAATTACCAGATATTTGTAATAATTACAATCAGTCTGCTACCCGGTAATAACACTGGTAGTTTACGATAGATATTAACTCCGTCCGAAGTAAAATGTATTATTTGTGAAATTTAACACTTAATCCCAATGTCTCCACTTGGCAGTATTGTGTGTAATGGCCACTGATGAGTTATTGCAGGGTTTTATTAAACACTGATGTAAATCACATACATGTATTTTAAAATGTCTAGTGGACCATACGTTACCATCCAATACGTGTACCGTGTTCATATACATCTTCAACAGATGGTACATTGTCACAATGTGGTGTACATGTACTTGTATTACATTCTAAAATACTGTAGAATACTTTATTTTCACTTGGAATTAATTTTTGCTATGAAGGAAAATAAAATGTTTTACATTCGTCCGTCCAATATCAGTGAAAATAAATTCCATAAAAGATGCTAAAAAAGTCCTTTCAGCAAAAATTAATTCCAGCTAAAATAAAGTATTTAACAGTACTCTACTAGAAATGGACATTCACACTCAAAGATGAAAAAGGGCATTGTATGCTGCTGTTGTTTTTAAATATACCGGTACATGTACCAGGTATGTGTTCTGTTGATAAATCATAGCAGATTGTGAGCCTATGTTAATCAGCAATCAACATTTGTTATCACACTGTCGCATTTCTATATTGGTTTTCAAAAATGTAAATTTATGACGTCACAGTGCGACGACCCATACAAGAAATGTACAATACACAAATATTAAACAATGCAAACGTTTTAGCCATACTGTATTACTGTTGGGCACTGTACATGTTTATCGTTTAAATTTTTAGAGACAATAATGCTTTTAATCCAATGGTACATTTTTCTAAAATGAAGATGTGATGTGTATTATTTTTGAAAACTCTATTTTATATAATTTATCTTGAATGTGAATCCAGCATCGTGTGAAAATCAGTGTTTTGTGAGCAGTACGTGAAAGATGGTTACAATTCATATATAGTTATAAACCTAACCTTGTATTTATAATCAAATATTATATTGCAAATATGGAATTAATGAACAATAATTTGCATATCAATTACAATTCAATGAATTTTCTGTACAGTATTTATATTGACGGTGATTAAAACTTAATTTTAAATCTTTTTATTCCAGTGAAATTAGTCTGTAATAATAAGGCAAAACTACATTTATCTATATTACTTTTCTTTACTTTACATTCTGACAATTTGCTTGTTTTCTGTATTGCTTTTCATTATTTTGTGAAATGGTATATATTATAATTTTAAATCTTTTTATTCCAGAGAAATTAGTCTGTAATAATAAGGCAAAACTACATTTATCTATATTACTTTTCTTTACTTTACATTCTGACAATTTGCTTGTTTTCTGTATTGCTTTTCATTATTTTGTGAAATGGTATATATTATAAAATTGAAATGTACAGTCATCACCATATTTGGCAAGGTTGAACAGTATGGGATCCATATTTGATGAAATTGAAATGTATTGTCACCATATTTGGTGAAATTGAAATGTACTATCACCATATTTGGTGAAATTGAAATGTACTATCACCATATTTGGCAAGGTTGAACAGTAATGGTCTCCATATTTGGTGAAATTGAAATGTACTATCACCATATTTGGCAAAGTTGAACAGTATGGTCTCCATATTTGGTGAAATTGAAATGTATTATCACCATATTTGGTCAAATTGAAATGTACTGTCAGCATATTGGGCGGAGTTAAAATGATACAGTCATTGTATTTGGAAAAAAAAAGTAACCTTGCTATATATTTTTTATATTTCTGGGAGCTTTGAAGTTTATCTCTGTAAATGTTTTAAACTATGTAAGATTCATTTTTTGTTAGAACATTGCCTTACTTTTAATTCATTCACAGTACTAGGGGCAATGCCAAATCATATTCCAATCCAAAGCAGCGATGAATCAAGTTATGTTTTTATTTCATACAAAAAACACAGAACATCTTTGTTTTTGGTATTTAAAACTACTTACCAGGGTAATTAATTAATAAACAAGTTGATCGCCCTCTAGTGATGAAAATACTTTGTTTTTGTTTTTATTCTCAATTAAAAACAGCACATCACAGGGTTAAGTACTCATTCTTCCTTGCATGGTGCTAATTTTCAACATGTCTTGAAATGCAATATTGCACATTTCCGTCCAATCTACACCATACATTTCTTTTTTACATATTTTTTCTACATGTAAAATTGCCTACAAATCTCTTGAAATCAGACAATGTCTGCGGTAAATGCTGCTTAATTCTTTAATTCCCATATCAAAGTAGGCAAGCTTTGCTTTTTTATACAAAGGTTTATAGAATTTCAACGGTTGGCCATTAGAATTCTGGGAAGGGGATTGTAGAAAAATCATCTTTTTCTTCACTTACTATTTGAACTGGATTATTTTTTCATGATGTTACTGTTCATTTACTGTTCTGTACATATTGCTGTCCTCTATTTGTAGATTTTTTGTTGTTTATATTTTGCAACTTTGTTTGCAAGACCCCTTCCCAAAGTTTCTAATGGTCAACTCTATCAGTATTCCTGGTGTAGTTCTACTAAGTGAAGATGTATAGATGCTTTAAATTATTTTCTAGACATGGTACAACATACAGATTATAATTCTTAGCTTTTTTTTTCAAAAGTACATGCATGCATGTATATAATAATTCTAATTTATTTAAATTACAAATCATCAAATGTGCTTCAAACTAAATCAATAAATTAACTTTACCTACCGGTATGTTTTATTTGTTGGGTTTGTCTACACTGGGTTCGACTAGATACATTCTTGTATCAAGACTTGTGAATAATAGACTAGTGAATTGGTCTGGAGGGCTGTGGGCGGGCATTATGTACAGGAGAGTTTCCATGGTAATGTACTGAAGTCATGGAGACGGCCAATCAGTGATAACACAAAATTCTGTGCTGCTACATATTTACATAGCGATTCACCAGACCATTCTTGAGTGCACTGGAAAGGCTAACACTGGGTATGAATTCTGCCAACTCCCACCCTCCTACTCACTATGTCATGAGGTTCGGAGTAAACTATGAAAAACATAGTTGAACTCTGGTGACCTTGCCCTTTGTTATACATTATTCCCTTTATCATAGTTTGTTTCAATATGAATATGCATTGTCATAATTTTGAATACAAACAATTTTGTGGGAAAGCAGTCTACCAAATATCTTTGATAGATGTAAATATCTTACAGAAACATTGGTGCTTAATTTGTTTAATTATTTTAAGGGACATAATTTCCAGCTTTATTCAAAGTAATTCAGATATTTTAGTAAAAAAACAAATGCCTCATCTCAGAAAAAAAGTGCTGCATTTAGACGTGAATAGATTCATAAAGCATGCAAGATAACAGAAAATCTTAGCTGGCTTTTGTACAGGTGTTCGTCAAAAATTAATGATTCACTGAGACAAATATGAACTGCCTTAGGGACGACGTCAAAAGATCGATGTCGGATAAAAAACTTATTTCCTTTAGTTTGGGGGTGGGGGGTTTTGACCTCAAAAAGTTTCCATCCTACAAAAACGATTTTATTTTTTAATGAAGTCAAAAAAATCTTGGAGTATTTGTAGTTCTATCCAATCATGGACAGAAATAACCGAAAAGGGAAAAAAACACAGAAAAATGGTTTGGTTCGAGTGTAAATCTGTGCGTCAAATGAGGTGCATTTGTAAACTCTCTTTACACCCACTCGACAAACTGCTATGCAATACTACTGTCGGATTATCAATTTGTATTTAATAGTGAATGTAGTCTGACGCCATGACCAATATTTATCAATTAAGTTTCAGTGGGGGGTAGGGGGTTTTGAAAAAAAACTAAAGGAATTAAGTTTTTTATCCGACATCGATCTTTTGACGTCGTCCCTTATTATATTCATTGTGTGACTACTGTATTATTTCAAAAATTAAAAAAACGCCTTCTAAGAATAGCTATCATGTTGCAAGCGCTGCTTTGTATGCAAATTAACTTAAATAGTTAGCTGGTGTCCAGTGGAGAGAGAATACAATTTTCTTTTCAAAATGTGGATGCAACATTCTGCTTTTTATGTATTTTTTATGTATTGTTTTTAATTTGATAAACAGATTTTCTATTACCTTCAGATCTTGATCAAAGTTTGGCATCCAATTCATAGAAGTGCTTATATTGATTATCTGACATCTTGTTTTCTGTAAAGATTTAATTGGAAGGTTTAAAAATGCGTATCAGACTGTGCAAAAACTCTCCACAAGTTGGTTTTGAAACCCAGTCTAGTATTCCCATGGGATTTGGGAGATACATTACCAAGGATATTATTACAAGATAAATGATTTGCTTCATTGAACACATATAACAATGCATATTTCCACTGAGATCAGTGACCTTTGAATGTGATCAGTCAAAATATTTTATCAGATTTTCTCAATTTTTGCATATTTTCATACAGGACATCTGTCGTTCATACTCAAAGAAGAGTTTATACTGATGAATAAGGTGACAAACTTTGGAATAGAGTTAGTAAAGTTATTGTGCACACAATAACAATTATTAACGACAATGCCGGACAAAAAATTTTCCCTTAATATACCTTTCCTTTTTACTTTGATGGTATGGGCAATGTAAAAAAAATGCCAGTCAGTTGTTGAATGCATCATCATAAAGCCACATCCTCTTTGCAGTACAGAGGTTAGTCTCAATTTGTTGTTTTCACTAGTACGACATACGACATGTATGACATTCCAGCCTCAAGATTACCAGTAACCCTGGGCTAAAGGTCAAATATATCACCATCATGAGATGTTAGGGAATATGGCCATGGCCATTCTTCCCTAGATTGAGGGCCAATGGTCACAACAATAAGACAACTATCTAGTTATATCTGTCATTGCACGTTTCAGCAGGGAGCTTCTGGCTAGCCGCTAGTATAGCAGCTAATATCTGGACAACATTCAATATAACAAATGTGCAGATTGCCCAGTGGATGACAAATTGGTGTACTAGTATATTCAAAAATGAAACGACTACATTCAAATATTTTGAAATCTTGTTTTAAATTTCTGATTGCAATATTTATATACTTTGAAAATACATGTATACATAAAGAAATTAATAAATCATCACGGCAATATACAATGCTTTAATATTGATATCTGCTCGTACCAACAATAAAAAAAAAAATTTGCCAACTCATTCAGCTTTAACTCGAATGAAAAACCCTCAAGTGGTTAGAACCACAGAAAAGTCAACATGTAAGACAGCAAATACCATGAAAATTTAATTGAAACATCTTAGACAATGGTTGACATTGCAGTACCGCAATAGGTATGGGTTTCTTATACAGGGACAGAAGAGTGACAGTTTCTTGGCTGAGGGAATCATTTTTGTGCATCAAGTTATTTATTGTGTCCCTGTCAACTGTGACCAAAATAAATTTAAATTACGGTCTTGTGACGACAACTGTAAAATTCTTAATTATTCACTGGGTTTTACCTTGCTGATAGCTAAATCCACTGAATTAAAATCCAGAAATATCCAAATTTAACAATAGAATTTATAGTTTATTTCACATTTCACAAATCAAATCTGCTATTAAAAATTAAACCCAGTGAATATTTCTTTCCACAGTGTGTATAGACAGCAGTTCAACCTCCACTCTTATTATGCTAACAAATTATTTTGATATCATTCATTAAAACAGAAAAATAAAAAAAAATGTTCACCTGTCTATTAAATAAAAAATTACTGGTGACGGTGGGTGGGCGACTTGAGTACAACATTCATAACACTTACTAGAATTACACAATGATAAAAAAAATCACCAATACAAAATCAAATTATTTAATACATTTTAAACAAATATTATTCAGTATCACAGAGTTTACAATAATGGAGTCATTTTCTGACACATGTTTCATTACTCTGAAGTTACATTCTGAAATAGTAACCAACATAACTGTAATCAAACCAGAAATGTCCGTGACTGTCATATATAATATTGACAAAAGTCTTCTTGGCAAGAATAATACTGTAAATGTACTGGAAACTCACTTCAAATGTATTTGTATTAGCACTCCCTTTACATATAATGTGTAAAGCAATTCTTAGCTGATAATAACATGTTAATCACTAAGCTAAAGGGTTATCTATAATGTAACACTAAGTTAGAGGGTTGTCTACAATATACCAGAATGCTTATGCTACTTTTTCTATAAAAAAAATAGCCACCTAGCTAAGGAAAGTTTCCTAATATATGAACTGACTACCGAGCCACGGCAGCTTTTTTCCCCTGCAAGACAAACAATATATAAACACTGATCAAAAGAAGTTATTCTAATTTTCAAGCAACACTGGAAGTTCATGTAAAGACCTGAAACTGATATACAGATGTGAAGTATTTGTTTCTATAAAGTGTTATGTACATATATAACTAGTATTAATCAATTTTCTAGACTATTGAAGAAAAAAATGATTTTGATGAATTGTATTCTCTATTTTGCATCCTCATTCACTAAGTTTTGGAAGAAACTTAAATTTTCGATGCTAAAAATTGTCGTAATTTGTTCTAAAATTACAATATAAACATTTCTAGCATATACAATGTAATACATGCAGTTACAATGAAGGAATTGTGGAATTGTGCATTTGTGTTTTTCCTGTTTAAATTTTCAGGGATGCAAAACAGAAAATGTCTTCACTTTGTTCTCATTATGATATGCGTGCTTCTACAAAATAACAGAACACATCGCGTAAACCTTCCCCTGCATTTGAATTTCCCTTAAGTAAATTTGAAACCAATCCCATTTTTAGTCAATTAGTAGTGCATGTACTGAAAACATAGGTGTCAAAGGTAAAAAATAAGTCAGTTTTTGGTTTGGGGTTTACGTCCACTGCAAATATATACTTTTAATAAAGCAAATACGGTATACATATCATTATATATATCATTATCACATGCAATTTGAAAATATGCTTTATACCGGACAATCCTGTGAAAGGATACAAATCAACAGTTGTGGTAAAAAGGCTATTACAAAGCTAACAAATCACATGCATTGCACCACCAGTATGCATTCACAACCAAATTAATTTACCAAATAAGTTTAAAATTTTCAAAAAATTACATGTATGCTATGTTGTTGGTCTGGTGACCTGTAAATATATCCCTCCTTACACCTCACCAAAGAGCGTCATGCATTCTAAAAGAAAATGCCTTAATATATACCGTATGTGAATGAAAATGCAAAACCCATGAAATCTTGTAACTGTTATCAGCCTTGACTAAAACAATCTACTTAATTCTGGTGAGAAAAAGATGAACCTCAAAATGATAGGCAGTCATGAAATAAATATGTACACAGTAAATGAGATCAAAAATTATATATGTACATAATTAATGAGACCAAGAATTAAATATGCACATAATTAATGAGACCAAGAATTAAATATGCACATAATTAATGAGACCAAGAATTAAATATGTACATAATTAATGAGACCAAGAATTAAATATGTACATAATTAATGAGGTCATACCGAATTACAATCATTCACCAATAGTTTCAAGTCCTGAGTAAATATTAAATAAGAGAATAAAGCTGTGTTAACTCTTGTTTTTAAAGTACTACACTCATCACACCCCCAAGTCTGTGTAAAACGATGCATTTCAAACGTGTTGCATATGTCGCATGGTAAACCTGATGTGGTCCAATGATTGTGGCAATTTAAACATTGTAGTAAAAAATACAGATATTTTAATACAATAACACTATTGTATATGTAAATCGCATTATGAAACATACGTTGCACAAAAAAAAATGGCGAGATATACTGGCTGTAGATGGCACCTTTTAAAAAGCTGAAAAGACTTAATAAGTTTAAATACTACGTCAACTACAGTAACAATTGTTGCATCTCTCAATGTACAATTTCCATTATACTATTACCGGTATTTAACATATCAAATTAGAACTACTTTATTTGTGTGAATGTGCACTGATACAATGAGATGTGGCTGTGAGGAATAATTATCTATGTAGGCGCATGAATACCTTATCTTTTAATGAGTGATTTTTTTCAGATGCCCAGGAACTATAAACCATGTGAATTACACACTTGTACAATAATATACCATCACTTGCAATTTAAGAGAGAATGCAATATGTTTAAGATTCTCATGTGCTTGAAATGTTTTTGATGACTTCTATCAAGTACTTTATTAATGGTCATAATGAAAAAAAATATCTAAAATGTATTTCAGAATACATGTAGTACTTAAGAATCAAACACAAAATCTGTAAACTGGTATGCAAATTAGTTAATTACTATGCTCTATTTTATTCAAAATCTGGTCAGATCATAGCCTGGTATATTTCAAGAAGATGCAAGAAGAACCACGTTAAAATTTGGTAAACAATTTTCATTTTTTACTGTTAATATGCACAAAACTTGTACCAAATAGTTTGGGTTTGTTGTATACAGATTATCATCGTCATTTTAATTGAGAAAAAGATTTTTGAGAGGAACAAGACAGATTTGCTCGCAGACTGACTTTTGTGACTGCTCTGCTAAAAGTATCTCTAAAGTAATGGAGCAAATATGGCATATTCTCTTTCTTTTTTTAATTTTTTAAAGACATTTTTTCTAAGATGTCCAGCGTACAAAATATGGATGCTTTGTAATGTGACCATTCATGGGTTTCTGGCACACATGTCATTGTGCCACTTCAAATCCAACCATTGTAGTAATCATAACAAGAATTGCTGTGAAAGAGGATGGATAAAATGGTGGACTTGATGACTTAGTTGGACACAAGTTCTATGTAATACTAAAATCGCAAATATATGTGACCTGTGACCTATGACCTGTGGTGGGGTAAATCCATGTTTTAAATACAGAAATTCACAGTTGAGTTGTACAAGGCAGAATAGTGAAAATGCCTGTTAACAAACAAGCTCCTCTCTGATTGGTCTGACTGTCAGTTGTTGAAGGTGGGTAGCCAATCAGGTACAATCTTGTATGCTTTGCACTGACACAAACTTTGGTTGGTACAAAGTGGTTGAATAAGATATATTGTTGTTACCATTGGTAGAAATGCATGAAAACAATCAACCAACAGACAAATATTTGTAAGTATTTTTTACTAAAGTTCAAGATATTTATGATAGCGGACTCAGTACGCTGGACATCTTAGCAGCATATAAGACCCATTCTACTGAAAGACCATTCCATATCTCGACTGGTGTCTGGATGATCTTTTACTAGGAGGGGTCTTGGATCTTTTATGTCACCTATTGAGGCAGGGTTCCATTCCGACAGCAACACCAGCACCACTACGGCCTGTACTCATTTGACTAAGAATATTCCATGAGTCTGCTGCAGCATCATACACTTCAACTGTAGCCAGGAAATCAGAACCATCATAACCGCCTAGTGAATGACAATAGCGCTAATATTAATTATTATTCATTTTGGTCATTAAAATTCTCTATAATAAGATTTATAGGATGTGCATAATTGCAAAATTACATGAAAGGCACTACGACTCTCTGCCTCAAAACCCAAACAATTTACCAACTTTACTCTGATCTTTCATTTAAGGGAAAGGCAAAAATTACATTTATCAATCAATAAAATATAATTTTAATAATTTGAGCAAAGACTTATCTTAACATTATTAGTGAATGTGATAAGAGACAAAATGCAGCGCATATATATTAAAAAAATGTTTGTAAATACTTAATTTAAATTAAAGTATCAGTTGAGCGAATAAATGGTATGAATATATAATAACGAGAGGTAGGGATGGTAGGGAGGTATCCACTACATATCTCATGGTATCTAGTGATTTATTGTGGTCATGTGACATGGCATGGCATGTAAGTACATTCCATAAGTACAGTGTATTGACACAGATGTCAACTATTCACAATTTATAATCGATTCAGAGCCTAATTTAAGATTTCCTCCCTCATTAGATATAAAAGTATGCAAACGACGTAAAAGTTTGTCATGCACATATCCACGCTTGTACGGTGTGATTTGTGGTAGAAAATTGTAAACCTGGAGCCGCAATGATGACTTTATAACCATTCAGCTGTTGAACGTAGATATAGTTACATTGCTAGTGACCTATCGCATACTCACCTAAAGCAAATAGTTTACCATACAGCACAGCAACGCTTAAAGCACTACGCCTTGAATTCATACTCGCTACATAGCACCACGTGTTATTCTCTATATCGTATCTCTCGACACTGTTCAGTTGACTTGTACCATCATAACCACCCACAGCATAAATCTGATTATCTATAGCCGCTACACCTAGAACCAACAAACAAGAAATATTATGATATTATAATTGGAAGACTAGTAAGGCATATCTGTAGACAAAGATTAACTTACAATGCAAAAAAGTTGAAGACAGTTACATGATGATTCTTTAAATTTTTTGGGGAAAAAATTTATTAGGTATTTCTTACCACCAGACTTTCTCGCCAAAATTTGTCTGCCCTTTTTGCTTATATTCTTCAATATTTCTAGAAACAAACCCTAATGTTGGAGCCAACAGACAAAATTTGAGTCAATTTTAATTTTTTACTCAAAACATTTGGTTATTTTTATTTCAATCTTCTGAAGGAAAGTGCAGACTACAAACAGGATGAGTGAATTTGTAATGAAAAAAGAACAGGTGGTGAAAAGGTTAATTTTGAACCAAATAAACATAATTTTCTACTTGCTCCAGATCCTGATCGATTTTGCGAAAACTTACAAAATCAGTTTTCTAAGAGTTAAACAGATTAAGAGTTTAACACGGCAATTTAGACATAGGTTTACTGATTCCACAGCTGCAGGCAAACTTTTCAGATCATCAAATTCAAATAGTTTTATCTATACATGTTGGCAAATATTGCAATACCAACCAAGCCAACAAAGGACAAGGTCCAGGAGAGAAGAACGCTTTGATGCATAGTTTGTCTAGGTAAGGTCAATATTTATATTCCATGGGTTGGTACATAAACCTATCATTATACAAACATAAATCACTATCTAAAATTAATTTGAGATTACTTTTCATATACCCCCCCCCCCCCCCACACACACACAGTGTGCACTTTAAACTGATACAACACGCCACTGACGTACAGAAATTTAATGTGATGCAATTAGTTGTGCCAATTCACTGGATTGTCATTGAGGCAACAGAAATTGATATTGATAGTGATCTTAAAAAAACATCTACTAAAGATATAGAATTTGTAATTTGGTTAAATGAAATTCACATTTTACAAGTGTAAAGACTACAATCAGGAGCTGAAACTTTTTTGTTCGTGCCTCAAGTCACCTATACAGCAACATATAATTTTTTTCTCAAAGATCTCTCTCCCTGGAAGTCAACTACCTGACTACCTAAATTGTTTTTGAATGAATTTGTAGTGTATGGTTAGTATTTGAGAGTTAATAATAGACAAAAATCAGATTTATTACATGACTCCTAAATACAAGACTTCTAAATTTGCGATTTAGTATATGGTATTTCTCATATTTTTTGCAATTTTTGTATCTAAACTAATGTCTCAAGTCCCACTCAAGCATGTGCCAGCTTATTTGTTATGGCATTACCCAATAAGACCCTTTCTAACAACGTTTTCCTGATGGGTGCCTTAAGGCACTTTACAATTTAATGAGAACAAAGCACAAGTCAAACATGAATGTGTACAAAGTGACTAACATACAATGAATGTTCGAACAGGGATTAAATAATTTGTTTAGTGAATTGTTATCGAGTTCTCAAACAAAATATAATAAGACCAGTTTTAAGGAACATTTAGAACCCTTTTGTCATTGGTACAATGTATATTTACAATTCTTATGTTATCGCAGTTTATGTACCATATTTGATTCATTATAAAGACATCTCCACTAGAGGCTGAACAAGTCATTTCCATAGCGTTTTTGTATTATCTATTTTCCCCAGAGTATTTACAAAAATGCTTCTAATAAGCATATGAGCAAATGCGGTATTTGTCGTTGTTGACAAAAAATTGTTGATATTTGTAAGGAAACACAAAAGGAAAACATCAATAATAAAGTAGTAGTCAAAGTGCTTCAAATGCAATTTTGTTGGCAGGAGTAAAATTGCTTATGATATAGACTGACCTGCACCGCTCCTAGTAGTATTCATGGACGCCATGCATTTCCATTCATCGGTTTCTGGATAGTAACATTCAACACACTTCAGTCTGTTCGTTCCGTCGTATCCACCGATCGCGTAGAGTAAGCGATTGGCTACAGCACAGCCCACACCAATTCGAGACGTATGCATTGACGCTACTTGTGTCCAGGTATTTTCTTTAGGGTCATACCTGAAACGTTGATAACTAAATTAAAAATCATTCTTCTATACAACTTTTCATATGGGAAAAAAAAAAGATTACTATAATATGTATAAAAATATTTGATGATCTCATCACACCAACAAATTAATTAATCAATTAATTGACCCACGTCAGCCTAATCTGATGATGAAGGCAATTAAACTGACCCAGGTCATCCTCAACAATTATTTGATCCAAATTCTAAATTATTGCTACCAATGAAATTAAACCATTATTATTCGTACCTTTCAACTGTGTTGTGATGACGACAACCTTGAGATCCACCCACTGCATACAGCAATCCATCAATAACACCAACACCCACTCTATTGCGTGGAAAATTCATTGGTTGACATATTTTCCAAGTATTGGTGATTGGATCATAAGCATCTAAACTGTTGGAATCCATGTTTCCATCAGGAGAGTTATTCCGACCACCCACTGCGAAGAACGTCCCATGAATGGTGACCGCACTCAGGCCACTCCGGGGCTCGGGAAGATCTGCTAGTCGTATCCAGCTGTTCGATTCGGGATAATAACATTCCATATTGCTAAGAGAATGACGCAGATATCCCCCAGCCGAGTAAATCACACAGTGGGAAGGAGGGATGCGGCCTTTCTCACCCATTTTCTTATGGAGAGTAAGATCCTGAAATATCTTAGCTAAGTAATCTTTGCATTTAGGTTCGCATTTCAAAATGTTACAATGTTGTAGCTGTTTTTTAAGAAAGTTTGGGGTCAGTTGACTGCAACGGATACCACCACCAAGAAGTTTATTAAAGCATGTACGCCTGCCACATTCATCGTGTTTTATCCACTGCAGGCAAGCATTGTAGACTTCCGATTCACACATTACATTTAAACGATCTTGGCTAACAAGCTTTACCAGCTGGAACAAGTTGAGATTCATAAACTCTTCTGTTTTGGACACCTCACGAAAATTCTTACAAATAAAAGCCATCGATGTCTCGTGAAGCTCCACTAGGGAATATTCTTTACTAAATCCAGCGATGCCGATGCAATTGCTGGGATCTAGCTGGTGTTCGAGAAACTGACAACATGCATTCACCACATGGTTCATTTGGAACATAATGGCAGTCGTCAATAATTTCAAAACATTCCATTCATTGACGAGTATAGTTGAGGTATAGGCGAAATCCACAAGGAGCGCGAAGACGCACGGATGGGTTTCCTTTATTTCTATTTTATTTTTTTTGCATTCTCCAAACCCACTGGTGAACATGGCTCTGAAATACGAACTGGAAGATGCGAGAACAACTTTGTGTGCGTAAAATTCCTTGTCTTCAACTTGGATTGTCACATCGCACAAGTGTTTATTATAACGTAGTTCATTCATGACTTGGAACGCTTCACTGTGATGTTGCTCGATCCGAAAAATAAATGCACCATCTTGCGTAGACTGGTACTTGTACTTATTGCCGTTACAAGGCTGAGGTGGTGGCAGACATTCAGCCATTTTTCTACACTACTGCAGTTACACAAATTCTTCTAAGTACCAACTACGATGATTAAAACATGATGAATGGGGACAAGAATTTTGATGAACACGTCCGCGAAAACACAACTGAATACAAGAACCACAGCATGATGCCTCAAACAGACCCATTGATTACAGTTTCATGATCTGAAAGAAAACAAAAAAAAAACAGTGATCAGAAAGACAATATTGACTATGAAAAATACACTTTTGTCTGAAATGAATGATCAAAAATTAAGACATTTTGTAAAAAATATCAACAAATAACTGACAGTAAGCATGATTCATGAGTACATATAACTCGTCAAAAATCAGTGAAAATAAATTCCATACAAATTACAAAAAAAAAGTCCTTTCAGCGAAAATCAATTCCCGCTAAAGAAAAGAAAGTGTTTTACAGTACACTGAAAATGACACCAAATACAAGTTAATGACAGCAATGGTTAATTTGATAGTGATAAAGAGATGAGTTTTTTTTTACCAATTTTGTTTGGATTTTTTTACTTGCTCAGACCACACGGATTATGGTGTATTAATTGTAATATAATGCACACAAATGGCAAATATCTACCATTATAATAAGGAAAATCTTCAGCTGTTTACAAGTGAATAAGCTAGTAAATTAAATGCCTATATATTTACATGTTTTTTAGTGGAATAAAAAATACACCCCATTAAACAGCTACTAAATAAACAATATCTCTAAAATGTTATGATATTAAAGTGTCTGAATTACATTTTGTGTAAAATAAACAATGTTTTCACCTGCATATAGTAGTGTATACAATAGCTGAAAAAAAGAATGCAATTTACGCTTGCGCCCAACGAATATGTATAAAGTAAAAAAAATAATTCCTTGACTTTACTAGGGCATTGGCACGAAAACAAACTGACTACAACAACAAAACTTGTAAGCAAAATAGTACTGATATCACAGCCTGGGGAAACAACATGTTTTCACAGCAGCTCATAAACAAAACATATTGCCTATGAGGAAGTTTATTCAATCGTACATGTCAACACAGGGCATGGATTCAAAGGTTACTTTTGTATGGATCTTGAATCAAAATAATTTTCATGGCGGTTCCCTAGGCAATAATAGTGAATACATTTTTTGTATATGTGGGTGAGGGGGAGGGTGAAAATGGAATTGTTATCACACTCCTAGTTTCCCCTCCTTTTTAAATTAGATACAAATTTTAGAATTGTTAATATCTTGAAATATGACTGAATTCTACAAATAAAGCTGGATACCAATGTATGATTTTATGTTGAATGATGAATTTCTTATTTTTGGCTGTGTCTGAGGAAGCCATGTATGTTAGCATTGAGTCAAAGTGGTTCAGAAGGCACACTTGCTGAAGGGCGGCACGATATGTACATGTAGCACAACTAGAAACATGGCAGCATAGGCTCATTCACTCCAATCTAAGAAGGTGATTATTTGGAGGGGGGGGCTAGTTTAAATACGGTACAGTAATTACTTTTTTAGGTATACGTTTGTGCCGTGCAAAAAATCTGAGTATTGAATGTCCTGACTTTTTAGTTATGGCAATAGCAGCAGAAAGATGGTACCGATACATAGCAATGCTCCATGCTCCCTCTACATGTGCAAATCTGTCAATCCAACATTTTATAACAACCATAGAAACAACAAACTCTCCAGGTTTTAACTTCTAAACTTGTCAGATAGTTTTCTCTACATTGATTACATCAAAACAATTCAGGGACTACAATGGTAGGCACCACGATGTTGGGCAATACAAAGGTGGGTAAACACAAAGGTCAAACAGAACTGCAAGTCATCCTCAATTTAGGTTTATTGGCCTACATGACTGCCCATGCTGACAATATAAAATGAAGTCTCATAGTGATTTTAGTCAACACCCTCTATTGTTGTGTGAAAATATTCGGTGTGAAATAATGCATACAGAATAACAAACAAAATATTGAAAAATACTCTGAATGTGGTTTTGGGTAAAAAAAAAAATGAGGAAACAATGATGTACGCCACAGAATGTCCAAATATGTATTTTTCACATGTGTATTATAAAATTAAATCTGGTACAGCTATCACTGCTGAAGGCAGTCACGCTAAAATGATTTCGCAACTTTCTAAGATGTACTCATTCATGTAGAAACCTAATAGACAGGTAGAAAAAAAAGAAACAGCACTATATATATATATATATATATACACACACACACACACACACACACAATATTGGATCATTGGAAAGGAAGAAATACCTTTAAGAAGAAAAGATAATGTAAATAGTCACCAGCATGATAACCAGCTACATATGTACGTGTCAAGTGAAATGTGACGACTCACTTCAAATCCAATGTCAGCTTTAGGTCAAACACAATGCTTTGTACATTGTACCTACCACACACATCAACTCAAGCGGTGTTCCAAATGCGTCAGAATTAAGATACAAAACACCTGTAGAGTCAATAGAGCTTGATCGATATCATCCACTGTAAAATAATTTATTTTGGCTTTAATAAGGAATGATTCCGTTGAAATAAAATCCAACGAATATACCTTTTTTCCTATATTTGACATTCAACATATCAATTATCAGTGAAAATAAATTCCCTACAAAGCAGCCAGAACGTAGTTTCATCAAAAATTAATTCCAGCCAAAATAAAGTATTTTACAGTAGTTTTGTAATTACCAAAAAAAATGTCAGCTTGATCACATATCACTCCACTGCGGATACGATAATTAGAGACATGCTAAAGATAGATGTTAAGGTAACACGACAACCGCCAATTGCGTGTCCCTAGAATCCGACCTTCACACTGGTCACAAAAACTGATGAGTCACTCTGGACTGGCATAAACAACACCAGTCAGGGTAGACCTATAAGAATTGGAGAGAGGGATAAACTATTATTGGGAGGGGGGTCAGGTTAGAAATGATGCACAGAATACTGTAAGAGGGTTAATTATTCACTGGGTTTTAATTTTGCTTATTTCGCTGACTGGAAAATGAGCCAAATTAAAACCCCAGTGAATATGTAAAATTCAGCATAGAACACATTATCTAAATTACAAAAGCGTGAATTTAAAACCCAATGATTATGCCTGAAATGATAAATCAGCAAAATTTAACAGTCTATTGCTTCTATTCAATTCAATGTATTCTGTCGGTTTTCTTTACTTGAAGACTTGTGCATTATTTTGTTCTGTTCTTTTTTGATGGCAGATTATTTGTTTATTTTATTTCCCCCTAAAAAATGATCTTCTATAGGATTTTTCCTCTAATATTGAAACCTACTCAGTGCCCCCAAAAAACAAATGGGAGCACCCCCTCCCCCAAATATTCAATGGGATGAGTGCCAGCATTTACTTTGTTGCTCTAAATTTGAAGTAGAATAGTGATTTATTGTGAATAAATTTTATATAGATTTTAAAATTAGCAGCTTGACCTGGTGAAGCCTCATCAACTGAGTAGTACATTTTTTGTATACCTGGCAACATGTATACACCACATACAACACCAGTGAATGTAACGGGGAAAATAACGCTTTTTTGCAAAACATAGAAACGAAAAGTAAAGTTTAGATTTTTCTCTCAACAAAGAACTTAGTGTTCAACCTAAATCAGACGACGAATTCTTGAATTGAATAAACCAACACTTAGTCTTTAACAATTTCTATTTTTCGTCATGTTCATTTCCAAAACTGTTAGCAAGACAAGACTTGTAGCTGAGTGGAAATTACATCCATTTGTTCAAAAATTTTCAAAGAATTGATAGAAAAATCTATAAAGATGGGCAAAATTTCGGCAGGAAAAATGTTGTGCTCAAAAGACTAAGTTCATTAAATTCATAGTCAATTAACATAATTAATATCATCTGGGTTTGTGAAAATGGTTCCAGCTGGAATTTTCCTGTGCACAAATCTATGAACAAGGGTTGTAATTAATTGAGTCAAATCTACCAGTCCCAGACAGGTTAATGTAGAAATTGCCTGGACTTGTGAATCAAGTTTTTACTAACAGGACAAATGGAAGAGTTGCAAATACCTGTACACATGAAATAAACATGACTGAAACATTTTATTTCAAATATATCTTGGTAGAGACAGGTGGAGTACATTATGAACATCACTGACAGGCATTTTTATTCTCCAATCTGTGCAATTGATAGGTAGGCATAAATGAGGACAGTTCAGAATTCTAGGCCGCTTACAGTATCGGATTGTTGCTATAATAGAAGGGGGACTGCCATTATCACATTGAATTATTACAATAGAATGCACAGTAACTCTATTGAACGATTGAGATGTCTGTGTGTATAAGACAAATCCTTGAAGGGCTATTACAACACACGGGGCAGACAGGTATGTTGACTTTATTTGTAATTGGATATCTTGTACCTTGTCGATGCATTCTTTGAGATGGTAGCAATGCATACCTGTGCTATGGTAGCAAAACATAAACCTACTATAAAATGCTTTCAATATCACAAAGGACAATTTTTCGTCAAATTTTGCAGCAGTGAAAATTTCTTTGCAGTTATACGACACGTAGTATCAGCCGTCTTGACCAAATTTTGTTTTCACAAATGCAATAAAATCAGCAAATTTGGAAAATAACTAGCGGTTTATAGTATGCACTACACTTGTGAGACCCTGGGGATATGTAATGGCCCCTGGGGATATTTAAGTTAGCGTCAAAGTCTGCAGTGCATATGGATGTGATTTTTGACACTTTATCGAAAAAACTTTTCAAGTGAACATCCTAAGGAATGGAGATTTTTTTTTTCATGCAATGAATTAGAAACTCTCAATTACACTGCTGTATCATGTCTGTGTCCCAAGTATAAAAAGAAATGACACTAAACACATCAAGGAGTGCACTGTCACTGAGCAGGTATTTACAAGCTTGTCAAAACACGATTCTTTCTTTGTGTACGCACAATGCAATCATCAAATAACTCTCTTCGTCCTAACTACGGTACCAACTT